TATGTATGTATGTATATATATATCTGCATTTATTTACATAATATATTTACACAATGCCGGCCAAGATATAATATCGTTCAGCGATACATTATTTCACCGTCACGTTGGAAAAAACTTAAAGAACGACGGTTGCGAAATATTTCAGATATTAAACGCCTTCAGCATAAATAACGAGTGCCGTAAATAACGATCGTTGAAAAATGCGTCTTAAACAACGCGTTTGACGTGCGAATTACTTTTTTATCTGGCAACGAGAATGACTAATATATATATAAAATTAGAAACAAATTTTGTAATGTATAAAAATCTTGATCGCAATTTTCTCTCTATTACCATTACAAGATTTAATTACAGTGTTTGTAGTGAATAATTTTATCATACAGTATAGCAGCTTTGTATAAAATCGTATTAATTTATTGCATCTCTCTTTCTCTGTTAATAAACTTATAAGAATACGCTGGGACGCAATTGTCATACCGAGCAGTATCTCGGTCATCTCAGTTCACACTGTTACATCAGAACAAACGTGCAATCGTGATCCAAGAAAGATCCATATTCCTTCTTCAACATCTTTACATCGTCACGTTCTTCAACCTTTGTGTCCCTTATTGTATCCGTACTTCTTTCCAGAATGCTGGTCACCTTTCTTCCCGTAAGAATCGTGATGGCTGTAATGCTCGTCGTTCCCGTGTTTGCCATCGTGGCCTTTGTGTTCCTCGTCCACGTGCCCCTTGTCGTGGTGGCCCTTTTCGCCATGATGGTCCTCGTGGTAGCCGGAATGCTGGTGGCCACCCTTCTTGTGCTGTCCTTCGTTCCTCTCGTGGTGTCCGTAAAAATCGCCTTGCTTCTTGTGATGGCCACCCTTGTGATAGTCGTCGTAGAACTTGTGCTCCTTGTGATACTCGTCCTTGTGGAACTTGTTGTGATAGCCTTTCGTCTTGTGGCCTTTCTTGTGGCCCTTCTTCTCCCCGAATTTCCCACCCTTGTGCCCTTTCTCGCCCTCGCTATGCTCCCCGTATTTCTCGCGTTCGTCGTGGTGCCCGTTCTTCTGACCACCGTGTTCCTCGTGGTGACCAGAACGGTGATGCTTGTCGTGCTCGCCCTTATCGTTCTTGTCGTGATGACGATGACTCTTGTACCCTTTCTCCCCCTTCTCGCCGTGTTCCTCGTGATAGTCGGCGCGATGACTCTGCCCTCCTCCGGACTCGTGACTCTGTTTTTCGTGTCCTTGGTGTCCCGAGGCAGCTGTCACGAGATCGCGCTTCGACTCTGGACTCGGGCTGACGGGAACGGGGACCACGTCTTCCTGCCGGGCGTCTCGGCGATCGCGAGCAGAGGTCAACTCTCGCGCGAGACATGCTCGTTGGTGCAGGAACAAGAGGACGACGATCGGGAACGCGGCGCGCAACATCTCGATCTGGCCTCGGCGCCGATCATCCGACTGATGGCCACGTCACTATCGGTGACACTTAAATATCCACGGTCCGATTGTTCCGTCACCGGGGCTTCCCGGAGCGTTTCCGCCGATTCCACTTTCATTCGCTTGACCGCAAGCCTTCTCGCCGCACCGAGACCGCCTTCTTTCTCTCGTCTCGAGAGACTTTCTCGAGTAATGAAATTGTCCGTTATCCGTTCGTTTCTTTCTTCTTTTGGCATGGTGGGGGAATTTGGTGGAAGAAACGCGGATAGTTAGCGAGCAGGCATGATGCAATCGAGGAATTTTTTGGTTGAAAGCGGAAGAACGATCGGAGGATAATGAACTTTGCTGTTTTTTGTATATCGGCTTTTACTAACAATGAGTCTGGTCTAGTTATGTTTTGCGAACACCAGATCAGATTGAACTTAGATAGATTGAAAATTCTGTGCGAACGAAACTGTGAAATTTCGTTTCATTGTGCAATTTTCCAGTGATTATTGAATGACAAGTAGGAATTTGAATGTAGTTTCGTGAGAAGTTCGATCAGTATAATTTACAAAGACATTAATAACATAACATTAATCAAATTGAATGTACGTATGTATATTAATACTCCGAAAGTTTTTTTTAATTAAAAAAATTCGACTCTGTTTTAATCTCAAATCAACACCAGGCTTTCCTAATCTTTATAGTGCAGAACAATGATGATACATTGATTGAAGTTGGTTAAATTTATTCTCCCCCTGTTTCTTAATATGTTCCTTCTTAATTTTCGTAATCATTATTTCTTTTTATACAGACAGACAGAATGGACAGAATGTTTTTATATTTCTTCTTCTTAAACCTTGACTCGGTAGTTGAATTACTTAAATACAACTTTTCTGATTGGCGCTAAAAGGGCGATAAATATTTTCATTCGCGATATTAAATTTTCATTGTTGTGCAATAGTAAACTAAAATATTTTACACTTTCTTTTCGACTCTTACTCTAGGCACGTAGGACACCTTGTATATACACGGTTAACCGGAAGTTAGTGTCTTAGAGAGACATCGAGTCGTTTTTGGTAATCGGTGGAATTTTGCAAAGTCTCGTGGGATTTCGAATCGTCAGCAGAACCGGGAACAAATGGCCGAACAGTTAGCAGAACGATCGGCGCGGCTACGAATTCGGTCATCGAGCTGTGATATACGCGTCGCCGACGTCTGTAAAACTCCATAAATTGTTTTTGCCCCGGCCGGCCCGTTATAAATAACGCGCACTTCATGAATTCAGCCGCGAACACGCGCCGCGAATGATAGGATTAATGGCGATATTAGAAGGTTTATCGACGAGCTGTAACGACACGCAACGTGACGTCGGATGTGTTTTATTACCATACCGGAAGAATTATTTTGTTTTATTTATATTCGTAATATTCCATTTCGAAGATGGAGTCGAAAAATTACGGCATCTGTTGTTTATTAGTTGAAACACCTTTTTGTATTGTGTTAATATTATTATTATCATATTGTTATATGTTGATACTATTACTAATATTATTCGCTATATTTGAGTCCTGACTTCAATATTTAATTCTGTATTTATTCTTCCATGCATGATTGTTGTATATTCGTCATAAAATTAAATTAAATTATCATGGTACCTCTATACACGAGTAATTACCAAGCTGCTGATTTTGTTAGAGATTTCAAAATATAAAAATTCGTGCAATTGAAAATATGTAAAGTATCTAAACTATTTATTATAATATGCATAGATTAGAGCAAAGACAAATTTTTTCGTTTAATTTCCATGTTTTTTTCTTTAGCTATATTCGTAAAATTTATTCCACATTTTTCCCCCTTATCTTCGCATCGATTATTCAGCAGAATTAGCCAGTAGAACTATAGTTTACAAATTGTCAAAATAGAGCCTCCGAGGACAAAATTTCATTCTCCTCGAGATTCAAAATACATACGGAACATCCTGTACATCGTACACATATCTTCGCGACTACCTGACTAACTTTGGGAAAAATTCTCGGCTAAAAACCGAGTCGATCGATCGGCAAACTTGTTGTTTCATCGGCTTCATTCGGTCCCAGAATTTCTATGTTATCAAAGTTCGAGGCGAAGTTCTCGCCGAGTTGCGCTACTCACCGAGACTAAAGAAAACTCCACACTCCGTGTCGTATAATTTTGTAATGTGTACTTCTCCTACGCATAATGTATTCGTTTTCTGGTCCTTGGTATAAGATGCATGTAAAGTAGCTGTAGGAGAAGTTGGAAGACTAATATGTGTTTTCAAGGTGATTCGTGAATTTTGCTTGCGGAGTATACGTACGGGATTTCGGTGTGCAGGTATATTTAATGACTGCGAACGTTACGCGTGAAGTTGAAGCTGGATAGGAAATTATTATGCCAATTAAATACATTTATATAATTTTACTTTAATATATTTCTCGAGCCATTCTTAAATAAATATTGCTTATTTCAAAGGAAGTATCACAATGATAAATTCGAAATACGAAGCAAAATTTTATTAATCTATTCAGAAAGATGCACAGAGTATAATAAAACTCTAGTGATCCTCATCGCGATTCTGGCAAGCTTCGATCGACACCCCACGCCGAGATATATCGATCAATTCAAAAACAAATTCAACTAAATTTCTTAATTGATAGCCTGTCAATTAACGAACTACACTCTATCGTCTAACGAATCGATCTGCACTCTCGCTTGAAAGCGTTCAGCTCCGCGACTTGTTAAGATTCGTCGACGATCAAAGCGGTCTGATGGTTGAAAGTTTTTCCTGATGGGCGATACAGAGTTACTTTTCTTAGCTACTTATTCGAGAGGGGGATGATGGACGCCTCTTCTCCTTCCTCGCAGCTGCAATCTCCATTGCAAATCAGCCGCGCCGAATTTGCAGTTTGAAACGGTGATCGATAGATTCGGCCTCTTTACGACCTTATTTGGCAGACTGTTCGGCTAGAGATTGGCTCCTCCGACGTTGGCGCTGCATAATCAAGATAAAGATTGGTTACTGCCCAGCTCTCCAGGATCCGGCGGCTCCTTCACAGGGGCCGGGGGAGAGCGAACCGGATACCGGAGGATCTGCCAACTTCGATTTGGACCCGGCATCGTCGTAACGGAGATTAGATTAGGTGGCGTTCCCTTTGGACCTTGCCGGATGAAGAGATTGCTTTGTAAGCAGATCCAAGGACGAGGAGGAGCGGTGGATCGCCGCTCTTCCTAGTGTATCCAGCCCGTTCGTTTCGGAAAAGAACAGGCCGCCGACTATTAAATTAAGACTTCAAGTGCCGCCGGTAACTCGAAA